TAATTAAGGGAATCAAAATTAAACAAAAATATTCAGCACCATATAAGGCAAGTAGGAAAATCAGTGTATGAATAAATAAAGAAAAAATCGAGATTCAGTATTGCACATAGTAGCCAATTAAGACCAAATTCAGGAAAATCCTAATTAAGGAAAGGCTTAAAAGATCAGAGTACTATAACAAACAAGGTAACAAAATATCAATTAACTCAAACGGGCGAGTAGAATGCTAGGGTTTTTGAAAGAAAGTTTTTAAATTACCAATCAATCAAGGAAAATCAGAATCAGTCATGTGAAGTCATGATTCTACATTTTTAACATATAAATAGAGGTGAATGAACAAAAGTAGCGAGCAAAATTAGCTATATAGACAGAAAGGGAACAAGGGATGAACAAACACAATCACTCAGAGCTAGTGAAAACAAGTTAAGATTCAGCAGGACATATTCGAAGCATGGTGACCATGAAATTGACAAAGATCAAGGGACATCAGGCTAACACACACAATCAAATGAAGGAGCATGCTAAACACATAGAATCAGAGTAAAGAGAATCGTGCTAACACGCGTAATCACATAGAGACAAGGCCAGGAAAATTAGTCTAACACATATAGTCAAGGCAAAGAGACATGCCAACACCCATAATCAAGCGAGTAAACATTATTAGAAATTAGGGTTTTTTGCAGAGTCAAATTAAAACAGTAAGAGCATAGAAATAGGTCAGAATAAACAAAGAAAAGGTTTAATCATAAAGAAAATCAGTTGGAGCATCCAAGAAACCCTAATTTTCAAAGAAAGTAAAAAAAAATGGTTCAAAGTAGAGGATTTTTCAGAATAAACTCGAGAATAAGCAGAACATAGAGGAAAACATGAAAATAGCATGAAATAACACTGTTTTTGAGAGATTCAGGAGAGATTTAGGGTTTCAAAAGGGGAAACCCTAATAAAAGTTGAGAGAACCTATCGAAACTTCATAGATCGTGACACATAGGGTGTGATTTCGCCTGAAATCACACCGGAGAACCCACGAGTAGCAGGGCCAGGAACCCTAGGTCTCAACCACCATGGTCCATAAACCTCGAAGGTCCTAGAGGTGTTGAACAGGAGGGTGAGAGTCCTATCGGAGCCTTGGTGAAAGGGAGGTGGCCGGAGATGGCCGGAAAACNAAGTAGGTGGAGGGATTTGGTAAGAGGGCGGAGGTGCTTGGTAATTAGGGATAGGCTAATATGTGAGAGGAGGTACTCGGTAAGTTGGTATTTTACTGGGGATTTCATTCCCTGTGCAACCATCACGGCACTCACATCCTTTTTCTTGGACGTGCCACCCGACTGTAGAGCCTTGTTGGTAGCCTGCAGTGCCTCAAAATTAGTGACCGTACCGCTTTTAATGCCTTCCTCAATCCTTTCTCCTAGTTTGATGATGTCGGAGAATTTCTGGCCTTCGATCAGCATCAACCTCTCATAATATTGTGGGTCCTGAGCTCGGACGAAAAACCTGTTCATCTGTTCTTCTTCTAAGGCCGGCCTGACCTTAGCAGCTTCTGATCTCCAATGAGTAGCATACTCGCGGAATGTCTCCGTGGGTTTTTTCTTCAAATTCTGGATGTAGAATACATCTGGCACATTCTCCGTGTTGAATCTGAACCTGTCCATGAAATCGGACGCCATTCCTACCCAGCTTGTCCACTTCTTGGGGTCTTGGCTAATGTACCAAGATAGAGTATCACCTTTCAAACTTCTCATAAAGAGCTTCATGCGAATCTTTTCATCTCTTCCGACTCCGACCAGCTTATCGCAGTATGTCCTCAAATGGACCCTGCGATCTCCTATGCCATCAAATATTTCGATCTTGGGAGGTTCGTACCCCTCGGGAAGTTCGATATCTGGCTGAATGCAAAGGTCCTCATAATTCAGCCCTTCGATACCTTTGTTTCCTTCAACACCCTGGACTCGACTAGTCAGCTTCTTGAGTTCTGTGGCCATGTTCCTGATGAGAGAGTCTTTGTCATCAGACTCCGGTGTGCTTGAAATAGGTTGAGTATATTGTGGCATGGTTCCCACATAGATGGGGGTGTGGTGGGGATGATCATTTGTGGAGTTTAGTGGTACGGGAATGAGGAGCGGGGTGTTGTTTGAAGTGTGACATGTGTTGCAATTTTGATGGAGAGCGGGTTGTTTCTGTGGTTTCGGGATGTTCTGCGGAGGTGTAGGGTTTTGAGCATTGGGAAAGTTGACGTCTGGGGTAGTGAGGGAAAATGACAAGTTTGCCAAGTTCCAAACTTGGTCCAGTTCTTCTTGAAATTTCAGTAACTTCAGTTCGAGCTGGGCGGCACTTTCTTTGGAAACCTCAATACCCTGAGGAACCTCTACCCGTTCACCCGAGTTCTACTTTCTGATGTTGCTCAAGTCTTCCATTTTTGCTTTGTTTTGTTTCTAATAGGACTTGGAGGAGGAGGAGGTGGAGGGCCCTTAGATCTTGTGGAGTAGGATGATGATGCCAGAGTGCACGAACTAACCTTTTGGGGAGGGGAATAAAACAAAAGTAAAAACAAAAAAGGTAATAAGTTAGTACGGATTCTGAGAAAAAATGTTGCAATATTTAAACACATAGTGTTAGAATATAAATCGTGTCCTAGTTTGGGTGCCTCATTGTGCCCGAGGTAGGCCTAGCGACAAGTTGATTTGGAGAACTTATAATGCTAAATGCCTCATTTTATTGATAAAAATAAGACGAATCCCCAAAACGACACTAAAATTGCAGAAAGTAAAATGTCACTAATGGCCATTGGCCTTATTACATTAAAGCAAAAGAAAGACTCCTAACTACTTGGTCCCAGAAGGACCTTCCACAGGTTGAATGCTCTCGTTGATCAAATCCTCCAGCTCGCGTAGGTTCACCAGTAAAAATGCCTTTGCCAGGCGTTCTCCTTTGTTTCCCTCAGCGTTCTGGCAATCAGTGACTCTTTTCCTCACTTTTCCTTCCAACTCCAGCAGACTGTATTCTAGATATTCCAGCTTCTCACTAGCCTTGGTGACCCTCTCTTTCCATTCATTTATTTGGCCACTTGATAGGAGATTCCTCCACCAGGTCAGCAAGAGTGAGGGTATACTATCCATACCGAAGTCAGGGACTTTGTTCTCCATTTTCTGCAAAACAAAAGGGTTAAGACCATACCCCCCCACCAGACTCGACTATTTAAACCAATAATTAGCATAATGGCATTTAGTTCTCCAAATAAATACACAGAACGTGACGATGTCCGTTTGGGTTCTAAGGAACCCAGTGGACTTTGGACAAGGCTATCTTAAAGAGTCATTATGCGGACAACATAACTGACTCGGCTAGGTTTGACCATGATGCATGCACAATTTTAATCAGAGTAAGCTTTCTATGGGGTATTAGACTGGTACCCTTGAGCGGACAACTCAAGGGGGAAAGGCGCGGAACCGTCGACTACACCGTTGATCGACTGGTTTTACCGCAAGTACGCCTTTGCCAAATTTAGGGGGTAATAATATCCGAAGAGCGCAACAACTCATTATAAGCGTTGCTATTGTGTTTTTTTGGCACGAGTGGAATATGATGTTGAAGCAGAGTCGCCATGGTGTCGACGCCCCCTTTTCCTCGCGAAATCGGGTTTACGACATTTGGGAAGACAACTCTATTCCCGTTTGGGATTTGGATTTTTGGATTTGAAGAGTCGCCACCTAATGATTAAGTGCATTAGGACACTAATGGTTTTTTTTGTTGGAAAACCAGAGTTCGGGTAAGGGCTAGAAATTATCTCGAGGGGAAGGTGTTAGGCACCCCTCAAGATCCACTAGTGTGGTATTCCGCATAAAGACTGCAAGTAGGTATATATAACTATTAACAAGCATGCTGAAATATAAATCAGAAGACATGGTAAAGTGTTAAAGCAAAGAGTCAATCACACATTGAGCAAGAGAAGCATAAGTAGAAGAAAATTACAAAGATAATGAACTGAAACAAAAATAAACACATTGGTGTGAGACTTGAAAAATTAATCAGGACATATCAGTAAAAGAGCAAAAGCAGAATGCAAAGATAAAGGAGTAGCACTATATTTGCCTTGGCTTTCAGCCGGCTAATAATAAACAGGAGCAAAGAAAGAGAGAGAGAAGTTTATCTGACAGATTGACAGCAACAAAATGGGTCTAGAAATGCTATTCCACATTACAAAACTTTTTGTGCATTAAAGTCTGACTTAATTACACACACTGTCACAGTAAACAAATCATTAGTGGCTCAAACATTCAGGTAAGAAACATATCTTAATCACAGTAATATAATGAGTGCCTCATTAAGCAAAACATTGTTTTAAAATGTTGATGACATTGATATATATCACATCAATAAAATATAACAATGTTGATTATCAACTCCACTAAGTAAATTTTATCATCTCACACTCATATATGTATCCATCAGTAATTTTGCTAGATAAAAAAAACCAAATCCCCCCCCCCCCCCCCCGCCCGTTTGTTTGTCAGTTGCGCCTAACCACAGACACTCGATAAATGAAATGAGTCGAGATCATCCTGCTTCCTCGTTATTTATCAAGAATTTCGATGCCACTAGTAAATAAGACCATCGCCCAATAAGAACTCCGAGCCTAAAGAAAAGAATCTAGACAAAATATCTAGTAGCAAAAACTTAATAACTGCTCCCCTAATAATTATAAAAAAATAAAATCTAGAAACAGATATTTTAGTTCCTTTCAGACGCTCAAACACAATCAAAGACCAAAAAGATCTAATTTTTCTATACTTTCGTTGTAAGGGGTCGTTTGGTAGGAGGTACTAGAAAAAATAATGCAAGCATTAGCTTTATACATTACTAAAACTTTGTTTGATACATTTTTTTATTAGTTATACATCATACTTGGTATTATCCTATACATAAGTAATGCATAGAAAACCATGGCATTAATAATACCAAGGCTATTAATGCATGCATTAGTATGGTTAAAGACAAAATTGTCCTTAAAGTCTCTTAAAGGTAGAGAATATAGAGGGCATTTTTGTAAACAACTATTTTTCTTAAAAATTATGCGATACATTATAATTTTAATACACCACACCAAACAGTAGATAAGAAATAATATCTACATAACTAGTGCTTGCATTACTAACTCATGCATTACTAATCCATGCATTACTAATACACCTTATTCCGCACTATTCTTATAGACCCTACGAAACGACCCCTAAGAGAAATACATTGATTTTAGATTTGAGCCGAGGATCTATCGGAAATAACTCTCTAACGTTACAAGGTAGGAATAAAATTTGCGTATACATTACCCTTCTCAGATCCCACCTAAAAGATAACGCTAAATTTGTTATTATTATTGTTAGAGTTAGAGGTGGCATCCAAAACAATTACAGGTTTTGGGAGTAAAAGAACAGAAACCAAAGGGCCTGTTTGGTATGTTGCAATTGATAGCATAGCAACAAGGAGAGGGTAAGCAGTAGCCTTTGGCCCCACCACAGCAAGTGCAAAGTGCACAAATCTGAAAACTCCCAAGTTTCCTCCGACTCTCATTTAGCATCATCATCATCATCTTCTTCTCCTCAATTAGTGGCACCATTTCAGGCTTTGCTGCCACCATACTACCATTTCCTATCAACTCCTCCACTATCCCATTTGCCTACAAAAGTCATTTAATACCGGAAATATTAGTACAATCCTCTATAAAAATTGAACATTTAGGGTTTGTTTGGTACAAGGATAAGGGATAATTAATCTCGGGATTAAATTTGAAATTAGTTTATCTCATATTTGGTTATGATAAAATCACATACTCCCTCCGTTCCAGTTTATGTGAACCTATTTCCTTTTTGGTCCGTTCCAAAAAGAATGACCCCTTTCTAAATTTGGTAACAATTTAGCTTAAACTTACAATTCTACCCTTAATGAGAAGCTTTTATAACCACACAAATACTCTGGGCCCTTTTTGACTTGTTTAGGACCACCAATTCCAAAAGTCTTCATTTTTTCTTAAACTCCGTGCCCAGTCAAACAGTTTCACATAAATTTTGAACGGAGGGAGTATAACTTATCCCGGGATTATAGTATCATTTTTATCTCTGTGTGAGGGTAGGATAATAATCCCAGAATAACTAATCCGAGAATAATTAATCTTGAGATAACTTATTTCCCGACCAAACAACCCTTATAATTTCATTGCTATAGTGAGTTGTTGAAAACATAATTAAGTAAACAAAAAATATAGTTTCTCTAACAACTTAAGCGAGATACTTAACTTTTATATGAAATGATCGCGTAGTTCAATATAGTAGTCGAGCAGGCAAAAGTCTTGAATTCAAGTCTTAATGTCGCCCATTATCAAAGACTTTCTACTATATGTTTGGCCCATAAAAAGAATCAGGGTTGCATGTGATAAACACATAATTAAATAAATAAAAATTATACTTTCAGACGAGGCAATTACACAATTCCAACATCAGTTTCAGACACTTTAGGACTGAGCTGTTAGCAACACATAGCAGCAGAATAAAAGCTCAATCTTCAATAAAAATTCATCAATCTTTACACTTTTTCTTGCTACTGTCAATATCAAACACTTTCACATACTATGCACTTAGCAAAAGCTGGAGAAAACTAAAGCTTCAACAAAACAGCTAACCACAAAAATTTTACAAGAAATTGATGGAATCTATGAAGCAACAAGTTTTTTTTTTTTAAAAAAAACAAGATTCTTTATCAAGAGAGAATATAAAAACTTACATGGGAAATTCTGGCTCCATTGAAAGTTATAAAGAAGAATGCAAGAAATAGAATGGGGAAGAGAACCCCACTAACAGCAGCAGACATATTCACTTTTTTTTTTCCCTCACAAAAGTTTAGGAAGAATTACTGAAAAATAGGAGTAAAGATTGTAACTTTCTTTTCTGCAAAAGGGGTTCTGATTTTGGGATTAGCTTCTCATGAATGAAGTGGTTAGGGAGGTATTGAACTGTGAAGAAGGTGTTTGAAAGTGGTTTTGGGCATAATTTTCTTGTGGAGAAATGGGATTTGGAAGGAAAAGAGAAGGGAAAGGAAAGAAGGGGAAATTTTGGGAAGGAGGAAAATGAAGTGATATGAGTGTTATGGTTGGGTCATAGATGGTAGCATAGCATTTTGCAAGAAAGACCACAACAGAGTAAGAGAACAAATAGTGCAAAGGAGGTTATATTTTTGTTAAATTTCGAGATATGGTATTTGATTGGGTAAAACACAAAATTAGCCCATAGATCAAAAGTAATTGTATCCGCCAGCTCTATATACATACAGAAAATATATATTTTATCGCCTATTATTTTTGTAAACGGCTAAAAATATACATTAGAGTTCTTTTTGGGAACAAATGATTAGAGGTCATAGTTTTGTTAAGGCGGAATACCTTAAAAACCTCTAAACTTGACACGGATTATTAGTTACACCCCTAAACTATGCGTGGTCTTAATTATCTCTGGATTTGGCCTTTTGAGAGTCATTACCTCCCTGGACACTGATGTGGCAAAGAGTGTGGGTGCACTCTCTTTTAAGCACGTGGGAGTGAAGAAAAATTAAAAAATCAACTTCCAAGTAGGTTAATTTTTACTTCTAGTTGTCATATAGTCATATATAATGATTTGTTTGTTACAACTATGTATTTCTTCTTGCTTCATCTTAACATATAATGTGAAGTTTACTCTAACTTTTATTTTTTTTAAATTCTTCTATAGATATAATGTCTATTTGTTCCAAATGCATTTTTTTTTTGGGCCAAATTTGTCAAAGTTTGGTTAGAACTCCATCATTTTAGCCAAATAGAAAACTTTTATAAAAAATAATGGATTGCTAGTTGTGTGTTTTCTGTTATTTTTATCTTTAGATATAATGTCTATTTATTTTAATTGTGTATTTTTATTTTTGAGTCAAATAAGTTAAACAAAAAAGCTACAGCTCCATTATTTTTTAGCAANACCCGAACGGACGTACGTAAAGGAAAGTAGTTAGTTACGTTCCGTTCCTACGAAGTAGTACGGAAACGGAACGTCGTAAGGTAACGTTCCTACCCTACCCGTTCCGTTACCCTTACCCTTTCCCCGTTACCCGGACGTTCGTTTTGGTTAGTAACCCTAACCCGTTAGGTTTTAGTTTTACCTTTCCGTAGTAGTAGTAGTACGTACGTACTACTTCTTACGATACTCGTGAGTCTATTGATCAACTTTTTATCAGTGGTTTTGATAGTGGAAACTTGGGGCTTGTTTTAGATGAACTTCCCTTATCTTCCTTTTCTACTCCCGCGCCTGTGATTCTTTCCTTACCTGCCTCAACTGTTTCTGTTCCTCCCTCTACTGTTTTTACTCCTTCCACCGCTCCTCCTTTGACAATTCCCCCACCTATCGTTCACCATACGGAGGTGGGTTCTTCGAGTAGAAGTACTGCTATGAGGAGCGTAACTATTGAAGTTCCTGCTGATAGCAGTCTCTTAAGGAAGTCAAGTCAAGCTGACGTTTGGCTCGAGCCTTTAATTGGCCCAATCGAGAAAGCAAAACTGGAGAGCCATAGCAGCCTGACTTTAATGGATGACATAGTGCATGCCACTTTGAAGGTATTTTCCTTCTTCCTCTTCTTTAATGTCACGACCCTTTTTCACAATAGATCGTGAGGGCGCCTGACACCCTTGAAAGGCAAGCCATTGCGGAAATATTACTAAAATAATCATATTGTTTTTAATTAGAATAAGTGGAATAAACACTCAACTTGAAATTTAAAACCAGGAGAGATAAATACCATAATAAAATAGTTACACAACCCCAAAATAATCGTCTACCCAAGTGTGTGCCAGAATCTGGTGTCACAAGCTACGGGCAACTAGTAGAATATACAACCCAAAAGAATACCACACTACCCTACTGTCTGGATCAGAATAGACAGAATATAACAATACAAAAGAAATACTTCTTCGGCTGCGGATCGACATGGAAGGAAAGCAGCTCACCGTAGAAGTCCCAAGTCTGCTCACGAATGCGCACCAGAGAAATAACCCGATCCACCTGCCTCAGACCCTGTACATTTAAGTACAGAAGCGTAGCATGAGTACATAAACAATATGTACCCAGTGCGTATCCCGCCTAATCTCGAAGAAGTAGAGACGAGAGGTCGACTTGATACTCACTAGGGTCAAGATAATATAATATAATTGTGCTATTCTAAGCATGAAAGTCACCAATATTCAACAAGTTATAACAAAGAGCAGTAATCATATTCTTGTCCTTACTTCAGTTTCTATTTTACATTTTCAATTTTTAAGCAAGTAGGCATGTCATGTTCAAGTATCAGCATATCTATACATATCATATGCAATCACACCGAGGTCGACGGCCCGCTCCAACAGAATTAAAAAAATGTGCATTGTCGAGGGTCGAAGGGCACGAACCATAGATGCATCTATTCTCACCAGGCGATCGGCCCGATCCATAAATATCAAGAAAACATCAAGAATGCACACGAAGGTTCATACACATACCAGGAAGCTCTTACCAAGGTTTAACAAGTTCATATGTTCACTTCATATTTCCTTTAAGTCTGTAACATATCATGAATAATCATAGTGGCAATTTAAATAAGAGATACTTCCAAATTAGGCATGATATGGGTCCTAAACTACCCATACAATAAATATCATAGTAGCTACGCACGGACTCTCGTCACCTAGTACGTACGTAGCCCCCGCATTTAGCAAAAATTATTCAGTTATTACACTTATGGGGACAATTCCCTCTTACAAGGTTAGAAAGGAGACTCACCTCGCTCCAAAGCGCGCTCCCAATATCAAGAACAAGCCCAAGCTCATAATTCGAAGCCGAACGATCGCAAACTAGTTAAAATGGTAAGAACTAGTCAATAAAGGCTTTAAAAGGTCGAATTCTAACTATTTAAGTAATTTCCCACCCTTTTCCACAAGTTTCCTAAATTCTGACCCCGGGCCCACGTGCCCTAGCTCTAACCCTTTAATTTTAGCTAATTTTTAGTGTTTAATCTACCTAATATACATGTGTTTAACTAAGGATGAATGGGGATTACTTACCTTACAATGCTATGCTGAAACCCTCTCTTTGGAAGCACCAAAATCGCCCAAGTGTGGAGTGTAAAATGAAAGAATGGTGTTTGAGTTCGAATTAAATGAAGGTCACTGCCCAACGATTTCCGCTTTTGCGGTTGATAGATCGCATCTGCGGTCCCGCATCTGCGAAGATGGGGCCGCATCCGCGGAACTGGGCAAGAGGGGACTGGACCGCTTCTGCGGCCTGAGGCCCGCATATGCGGAACCGCCTCTGCGGTTACCGGACCGCTTCTGCGGCTTGGCCCTAAAGTGACTGGACCGCATCTGCGGTCTGGGGATCGCATAAGCGGAACCGCTTCTGCGGTCCCTTAGCCGCTTCTGCGACTTTCCCCTTGGCCTGACCTTTTCGCTTCTGCGGTGGCCTGACCGCATCTGCGGTCCCGCTTCTGCGGCGCAAGAACCGCAGATGCGGTTATGACAGAAGCAGCAAACCTTCAGCTACTCTTCAATTTTTCTACTTCGCTCGAACCTCGCTCGTTTGACGCTCGGGGCTCCCGAGCCCCGCTCGAACATACCGACAAGTCTGAAATCACGAGGCGGACCTACTCAAACCCTCGGATCACTCAAAACAACGCTAAATCTTAGAATCATCCTCTAAAACCAAATGAATCAAACTATTGAATTGTCACGACCCCAGTTCACCCTCCATGAACATGTCGTGATGGCACCTAGTTCCTAAAACTAGGTAAGCCTAACAGTGCGGAATAATGAGTTAACATTTGCGGAATAATAAATTAAAACTGAACATACGGAAGAAACAACTGTATATATAAGGCCACTCAGCCTATACAACTCAAAATATGCGGAAGTCTATAATAAATCCCAAAACCCGAAAACTCACAGGAAACACAGGCTAATAGAATGTAGTAAACTGCTCTACACCAGAATGTCTAAACAACATGAAAGGAAAGAAAAGGAACTATCTGCTAAAGCCGGAATAGAGTAGAGACTCCTGGTCTACGAACGTAGCAGATATACCTCAAGTCTCAGCTAGGACTCTCCACCACGAGGATGATACGTCTGGGAGGAAGTACCTGGATCTGCACATGAAAAACATGCGCAGGAAGGGCATGAGTACACCACAGCGTACTTAGTAAGTGCCAAGCCTAACCTCGGTTGGGTAGTGACAAGGAAGGTCAGGGCCCTACTGAGATAACATAATAAATAATGAGATAACAGAAATAGTTTAAATAAAGTCTACAGCGAGAATCTAAACCAGGTAAATAAGGAAGAACAGTAATAGAAAGCAAAGGTAACAATACACGGAAAACTGCCCTCACAAGGAATAGTAGCCGGGGGATCTCTTGGTATCCCGAGGATCTCTTGGTATCCTCATCATCAACACTAGGGATCTCTCGCTATCCCGAGGATCTCTTAGTATCCTCAATAAGTAAGTCGGGGATCTCTTGGTATCCCAATATATATATAGAAACACATGTGCCAGGGATCTCTTGGTATCCCGCACCCTCAGTCCAGAATATCTCAAGTACAGGGGATCTCCCAGGAAGCCGTCCCGTAGTCCCAAATTAAACACACAACAACAACGATTCCTAAATCTCGGAACAATGCTAAAAATCAGGACACGAAAGTAGTAAATTATAGCCTAACATGCTTCACAGAGTANGCTCGAACCTCGCTCGTTTGACGCTCGGGGCTCCCGAGCCCTGCCCGAACATACCGACAAGTCTGAAATCACGAGGCGGACCTACTCTAACCCTCGGATCACTCAAAACAACGCTAAATCTTGGAATGATCCTCTAAAACTAAATGAATCAAACTATTGAATCTTCAAGTTCTTAATTATCCTCTAACGGGTCAAAACACCCTTAAACTACTCGGATTGACACCAAATTTTACGGGCAAGTCTTAAACGACATTACGGACCTGTACCAAGCTTCGGAACCAAAAACCGAGCCCGATACTTAGGGAATCAATGATTACTTAGCTTCTTTAATTCCTTAAAGCTTCAATTAAACAATTTTAGATAAAAATTCATTACTCGGGCTAGGGACCTCGGAATTCGATTCCGGACACACGTCCAGGTCCCATATTTTCCCATGGACCCTCA